AGGAAATGACACACAGTAGGATGTACAGTTAGCTAGTTGGCGTTCACAAGCCTCTGGGGCATGCACGTATTAAGTGTTTTCATAAACTGGTTGCAGGGAAGGAGATGGTATCTAATAATGACATACTACAAGGTAGAATTTAAATTAAAGGCTACAGCCTTGAATATTGACCCAAAGGACCTCAGTGGCTTTCCTATGCTGCAATTTCTTTACTCAACCATTTTGAATCTTGCAGAGTTGGTGGAGTTTAATGGTTTCATTTCCTAGAATCAAAGTTAAATACATTTTTCAGGCTGAGCACGGCTTGTCTTGGACTGAGACCAGCGAAATCAGAAGAGGAAGGAGTCAAAATCTGAGTTTGCACCATCTCAGCCAAAGCCAATCTTATTGGGCATTGATCCCAGCAGGGTCCTTACAGGAAAACTGCATTTTCCATATTTCCCCTTCTTCCTGTTTATCATCTCTCTACAGAGCTGCTAGCTACTGGGAGCGGTTTGCACTTTGTCCAAAATATTTGGACAGAAAAGATTTGATTGAAGGATGGAGGCCAGGCGTGTGTCTGGAAGCAAACCACAACCATCTGTTTTTTTAGCTGTGACCCTTCTCTGCTTCTTCACTCATACGGGCAGATGTATTTGCAGCTGGCTTGGCTTCATGTTTTCCTTTCTGTGTTCCATCACAAGGAGGGCAAAAGCACTTCCTTGTGGGACCAATACTTTAGATACTTTAGAGCAGTATCTCAGAAACTCAGGATATCGTTGTGCTTTTAACAGCTGGTCAGCAACTGTGAGGTTGCCAAAAGGCAGTTAAGTGATTAAGATAAGCCATATTGGTTGGCTTAAGTGATTATGATAAGCCATACTGGTCATGGGAGACACATCTTCTGGGCTGGGTGACCACCCGAACTTCCATCACTGAAGATCGGAGATTCTCCAGTGCCAATCCATCTTAACCATTACCCCAATGTTGGTTCTTTCTTTTTATTCACAAATCAAATAGTTTAGCGTTGTAAGCATGCATATTCTGAACAGGACATGCAGTTCCACCATAAGAATTTTAAAATAGTTATATCGTCTCAGGCTAATACCAGTACCACTGATCTAGGGTATGGTTCTTAGAAATGGCAAGCAGATACTTCAAAGGTCTCACAACTGGGAGAGGGAGAGAGATGCTCTTCTTCTTGCCTTCTTCTCCTACAACTGGTGTTTATGGTCACCAACTTGGAGGTAACACTGAGTCCTGAAGACCAACAAGCCTTGATAGATATCCTCCATGAATTTCTCTTTGAATCAGAATAGAGCTGGAAGGGACCTGGGAAGTCTTCTAGTCCAGTCCCCTGCTCAAGCAGGAGACCCTATACTATTTCAGACAAGTGACTGTCCAGTCTGTTCTTAAAAACCTCCAGTGATGGAGCGCCCACGATTTCTGAAGGCAAGCTGTTCTACTGGTTAATTGTCCTCACTGTTAGCAAGTTTCTCCTTAATTTCAGGTTGCTCCTCTCCTTGATTAGTTCCATCCATTGTTTCTTGTCCTGTCTTCAGGTGTTTTGGAGAATAGGTTGACCCCCTCTTCTTTGTGGCAGTCCTTCAAATACTGGAATTCTGCTATCGTGACACTCCTAGTCCTTCTTTTCTCAGTGCCTGCAACCGTTCTTCATATGTTTTCATCTCTAGGCCTTTAATCATCTTAGTTGCTCTGCTCTGCACTGTTTCCAAAATCTCAACATCTTTTTTTGTAATTTGGTGACTAAAACTGGATGCAGTATTCCAGGTGTGGTCTTACTAGGGTTTTATAAATTGGTATTGATACTTCATGTGATTTTGATTCTGTGTTTCTGTTTATACAACCAAGGATTGTATTAGCTTTTTCGGCTGCTGCCGCACACTGCTGGCTCATATTTAAGTGATCGTCCACTAGGACTCCAAGGTCCCTCTCACAGTTACTGTTTTTGAGCCAGGTTTTACCTAATCTGTACTTGTACCTTTGGTTTTTCCTGACTAAGTGTACAAACCTTACGTTTCTCCACATTAAGTTTGATTTTGTTAGATAAAGCCCAGTGTTCAAGTCTATGAAGATCCCATGCTGGCTGGGGAATTCTAGGAGCTGAAGTCCATATATCTTAAAGTTGCCAAAGCTGACAAAAATAGGCCTGTGTAAACTTGAAGCTGGTTCCACTAAAACCAATTGGGTAGGGGGCTTAAAATATATGTTCACTGAGGACTAAAATAATTACCTTGCATCTGCCCTCATTTGAGTAAGCCAACGGGGCTTTGGTTTGTCGCAAAAGTCTTTCCAAGTAAGGTTACTATTTCCTAAATATAAGATTTCTTTTAAAATATGCCCCAACATGCCAATTTTGGCTATGCCAAAGTGATTCAAAGATCAGGCATTGGAGAAAAAATGAATTTTTGGCCGCCAGTGTGCATTTTTATGTCTACAAGCTACAAATCCTTTATACAGACTTTACTCATAAGCTTATTTTTGAAGAGACTTGCTTGAAGAGAGAGAAAAATGAAACCAGCTGCCTTTTTTAAATAATAAAAATAAAAATGAGGAGCTTTGGGTCTGAAGATGCATGCATCATTTAAGGAACAGGACCTCATCCAGAAACCTAAAGAAAATTAGCATTGTTTGGGCTGATAGATTGTAAAACATGCATTCATTACCAAGAACAGTAGGAAAAATATTTATTTTTTCCACTTATATAAAAGCTTACAATTTAACCTAGGGCTCTGTAAGAGAATCTGGCAGATTAAGATAGAATAACAACTTCTCAAGGACTAGATTGCTTTTTTTAAAGCAAATCTTATTTTAATAGCTATATTTTTTATAGTTTTTATAGATTTTTTTTTAAGACAGATAGGTTTAGTATTAAGTGTTTTATTAAGTTATTTTTTACTGAAGGTTGTTTTAATGTTGTTCTTCCTTTTGTACTCTGCCCTGGGCTTTTTCGGGAGAACAAATGGTATAAATATAAAACTAATAATGCTAAGAAATAATAATTCTGAAAGAAGAGAGAATGACCTGCAGCAAGTTCTCTTCTCTACCAAGCTATGACAAATAATATTAAACCACCAGCAATTCAGGATACAAAGTTTTCCAAGATCCAATTTTGGTTCAAATGTCTTATGAGCTCACAAATTTCCTTTGCTTCCTAAAATCATTCGAAATGAAGGCTCTAAATAAATCGCACGTTGAATAAATCACACGCAAGATAAAATAAAAGATTTGCCTTCCCCTCTAATGCTGTCATCCCAATGGTATTATTATACCCATGCCAGGAATAGCGCAACATGGAAACGGTTTTGTATTGGGCAGCGGTCAGCATAAGGGATGGTAGATAAATTGTGGTTTTGTTTGATGGAGACGTGCCTCCTATAATTGTTAGAGAGCCAGTTTGGTCTAGTGCAGGAGTAGGCAACCTTAGCTCTTTTATGACTCGTGGACTTCAACTCCCAGAATTCCTGAGCCAGCCATGCTGAGGGGAAAGAGAGAGGTTTCCAAGCTGAGCCATGCTGGCTCAGGAATTCTGGGAGTTGAAGTCCACCAGTCATAAAAGAGCCAAGGTTGCCTATCCCTGGTCTAGTGGTTAAGGCACCAGGCTAGAATGCAGGAGATCGTAAGTTCAAGTCCCGCCTCAGACATGGAAGCCAGCTGGGTGATTGGGCCAATCACTCTCTCTCATCCCAACTCACATCACAAGATTATTGTTGTGGGGAAAATAGGAAGAGGAAGGTACGTTGGACATGTTCGCCACCTTGAGTTATTTGTAAAAATAATAAGGGCAGGATATAAATAAATAAATGGTGTTGAAGAAGACTCTTGAGAGTCCCTTGGACTACAAGGAGATCAAAACAGTCAATCCTTGACTCAATAATTAATTGAACATGTTAAATTAGTAAGATGATGTTTTTGTGTGATAATATGGGTGCTTTTAGGCATGATAATTACTTGGATGAAATTTGAATCTTACCTAACAGACTGAAATGATTTAAGATTTGATATTATTTTGCTAGGTTAAAGAGATTGATTGATTGATGGACTACATATGTATAGGGTAGACTAATATTTTATTTTAATCAGGATACATAGCGTGTAGTGGAAAAAGAAATAAACAAGACTTGTGATAAAATTAAGGACTTAAGAGATCAGAACTAGAATATATCTGGAAAGGATACCTGAAGTGATAATGAGTTTATTTAAGGTTAAAGTTGACTATGGTAACTGTAAATTTATAAGGCTTAAAAACAGGTTTAGAATTTATAGAAATTTAATCTAGAAATGGATTATTTTAAATATATTATGTTATTTGAGGGAAATAGAGAGGGAATATTTAATGTATTGATTTGAGTTATTCATATATGGTTTTATTTTTGGATGTTTGATTACCCCAGCACCACGGTGTGTCTCAAGCACTTTGTTCTAAGAAACAAAAAACCAATAAAATATGTTTTAAAAAAACAAAAACAGTCAATCCTAAAGGAAATCAAGCCTGGCTGTCCTTTGGAAGGACAGATACTGGAGCTGAAGTTCAAATACTTTGGTCACCAAATGAGACGAGAGAAGACTCCTTGGAAAAGATCCTGATGTTGGGAAAGATGGAAGGCAAAAGGAGAAAGGGAATGGCAGAAGATAAGAAGGATAGATAGTAGATAGTGTCATCGATGCAATGGACATGAATTTAGATAAACTCTGGGAGACAGTGGAGGACAGGATGAAGGCTGGCCTGCTAGGGTCCATGGAGTTGCAAAGAGTTGGACACGACTTAGCGACTGAACAAACAAATTGCTATGAACAAAGAACACAGAGAAATAATAAGTGGAGCTTCAGTCCGAAACTCAGAGTTTCTCTGTGATCTCTCTGGCTCGGTTGGAGGTGCAAATGAACAAATTATTCAGAGAAAGGATGACAATGTAATGACGATTTAATCCAAGTGAGCATGTATCAATGACCAGGTCACCGGCACCTTTCTTGCGCATAGAAGAAAAGGACTGACTCACCTCTATCCAAGCTGCGCATACTTTCATCCAGATGCAGGTCAAAAATCCGTACTTCGGCAAGGTTGGGCTCTTGTTCCAGAAGCATTTCAACCAGATGTTTTCCCAGGAAACCACAGCCTCCCGTCACCAGATAGATCTGGTTTTTGCTAGTCAACTTCATCTGTGCTGGAAAGGGAGAACCAAAGAGCACACTTAAATTGGGACTACAAGAAGTTGGAACGAGTGGAAGAGGCAAAGGAACAAAAATAGAAATAGTAGAATCCAAGGCGGAGATTAAGAATATGAATTCAAGAGCAATCGTAAGAACCGCACGTGTCACATATGGGGAAAAAGGAAGGATCCTGAGGCTATACTCCAGAAGGAGGGGGGAAGGAGCAAAAAATAATAATAATGAACCACTGGAATGTATCTCTTCTTTCACACTGCTTCTAGGAAAGGTGCTGACTTTCCAAGTGGCATTTTCCAAACAGAAAGGCAGTGAACCAACAGTCACGGATCATTGCTGCCTTTCATGCGATTGCTCCTAGAGACTGTCTCTATGTTAGAGTTGGCGTCACTGCTGTCTACCAGAAGGACAATAGCTCTCCTACTTGTCCAAGTTCTCAAATTTTCAGTATTTCCCTAAATTGTTTGTTTTGGAGCTTCTGGATATAGGCTATAGCAGGGAGGAAAAATGGATTTGAATCAACTATTAATCATAACTAAAAAGCAGAGACATCACCCTGCCAACAAAAGTACGTATAGTCAAGGCCATGGTTTTCCCAGTTGCAACGTACGGCTGTGAAAGCTGGACCATAAGAAAGGCTGAGCGCCAAAGAATTGAGGCCTTTGAACTATGGTCCTGGAGAAGACTCCTGCGAGTCCCCTGGACTGCAAGGCGATCAAACCGGTCAGTCCTAGAGGAGATCAAGCCTGACTGCTCTTTAGAAGGCCAGATCCTGAAGTTGAAACTCAAATACTTTGGCCACCTAATGAGAAGGAAGGACTCACTGGAGAAGAGGCTAATGCTGGGAAAGATCGAGGGCAATAGAAGAAGGGGACGACAGAGAATGAGGTGGCTGGATGGAGTCACTGAAGCAGTAGGCGTGAGCTTAAATGGACTCCAGAAGATGGTAGAGGACAGGAAAGCCTGGAGGAACGTTGTCCATGGGGTTGCAACTAACAACAACAATAATTAATCATAGTTTCAGTTGGGAAACTGTGGCCATCCTAGAGCAAACCAAGTCCCAAAATGCTAGGGAATTTCTAGAGGCCTGGCCCTAGCTATCAATAGACGCAAAGACATGGACAATACCTATAGACTGTGCAAAAGAGATAATCAACAAGCAAAAGAGGAACAAAGAGCACCTCTCCACCAGCAATCAGTTGAGCATAGATTAACACCAAGATTAACAAGTAAACACTACCCCAATCAAGGAACTGCCAAACAAGCCAACAGTGGACAGCCCAACCAAAGAACCATGCCAGGGCACACCACTAGAATATAAACTGAGAACAAATCCCGTTCCTTACTAGCATTGATGATGTAACCTAGTTTGGGTAATGAAAGGACTGCAAAGAAAACCAAAGTCAGAGAGTACTAAAAACCCCATGAATCAACCCTAATTGCAGGGTGTGTGTGTTTGTGTGTTTGTGCTTCTCCAATTAGTGCCTCATTTAGGGCTGAAATCCAGGCCATTATTTACAAGTCAGGAAGCTTACCATAATGCCTCCATTTACAGTCAAGTGCTGTGTGACTTCGTCCTTGAGACATAATCAAAAGAAATATTAGACCACACTAGAATGACAACTCTACAACACATTTGTAGCAAGCTATTCTTCTGAGTTCTTAGTCTACATCAGGGGTCTTCAAACCTGGCCCTTTTATGACTTGTGGACTTCCTCCCAGAATTCCTCAGCCAGGCAAGCTTCTGGGTTCTTAGTCTACATCAGGGGTCTTCAAACTTGGCCCTTTTATCACTTGTGGACTTCAACTCCCAGAATTCCTCAGCCAGGCAAGCTTCTGCGTTCTTAGTCTACATCAGGGGTCTTCAAACTTGGCCCTTTTATGACTTGTGGACTTCAACTCCCAGAATTCCTCAGTCAGGCAAGCTTCTGGGTTCTTAGTCTACATCAGGGGTCTTCAAACTTGGCCCTTTTATG